GTCTCAAACTCCTGACCTCAAGTGATCTGCCCACCTTGGCCTCCCAAAGTGCTGGGACTACAGGCGTTAACCACCACGCCTGGACCTTTGTTTTTTAAAATAAAAAATCAATTTTGATGAGAGCTGGCAAGATGGCCAAATAGGGAAAGCTCCTGTCTGCAGCTCCCAGCAAGACCGACGCAGAAGGCAAGTCATTTCTGCATTTCCAACTGAGGTACCCAGTTCATCTCACTGGGGCTTGCTGGACAGTGGGTGCAGCCCACAGAGGGTAAGCCAAAGCAAGGTGGGGCATTTTCTCACCTGGGAAGTGCAAGGGGTTGGGGGATTTCCCTCCGCTTGCCAAAAGAAGCCTTGAGAGACGTCCGAGAGGAATAGCACACTCAGGCCCAGACACTGGGTTTTCCCCACAGTCCTCGCAACCAGCAGACCAGGGGATTCTCTCCAGTGCCTACATCACCAGGGCCCTAGGTTTCAAACACAAAGCTGAACAGAACTTTGGGCAGGCTCCAAGCTAGCTGCAGGAGTTGTTTTCTTTTCATACCCTAGTGGTACCTGGAATGCCAGTGAGACAGAACTGTTCAGTCCCCTGGAAAGGGGGCTGAAGCCAAGGACTCAAGTGGTCTCACTCAGTAGGTCCTACCTCAACTGAGCCCAGAAAGCCAAGATCCACCAGCTTGAAATTTTTGCAGTCAGTACAGCAGCCTGAGGTCAAACTGGGAAGCCTGAGTTGGTGGGGGAGGGGCATCTGCCACTGCTGAGGCCTGAGTAGGCAGGTTTCCCCCTCACAGTGTAAACAGAGCCACAGTGAAGTTCAAACTGAGTAGGGCCCACAGCAGCTGAGCAAGGCTGGGATCTGGCTGCCTCTAGATTACCCCTCTCTGGGCAGGGCATCTCCGAAAAAAAAAAAAAAGCAGCAGCCCCAGTCAGGGACATATAGATAAAATCCCCCATCTCCCTGGGACAGAGCACCTGAGGAAAGAGGTGGCTGTGGGTGCAGCTTCAGCAGACCTAAATGTCCCTGCCTGACAGCTCTGAAGAGAGCAGCACATCTCCCAGCACAGCATTTGAGCTCTGATAAGGACAGACTGCCTCCTAAAGTGGGTCCCTGACCCCATGTATGCTGACTGGGAGACACTTCCCATCAAGGGCTGACAGACAGCACATACAGGAGAGCTCTGCCTGGCATCTGACAGGTGACCCTCTGGGCAACGCTTCCAGAGGAAGGAACATGCAGCAATCTTTGCTGTTCTGGTGATACCTCCACTGGTGATACCCAGGCAAACAAGGCCCGGAGAGGACCTCCAGCAGATCTGCAACAGAGAGACTCGACTGTGAGAAGGAAAACTAACAAAAAGGAATAGTATCAACATCAACAAAAAAGACGTCCATTCAGAGACCTCATCTGAAGGTCACCAATATCAAAGACCAAAAATAGATAAATCCAAGATGGGGAGAAAACAGCACAAAAAGGCTGAAAATTCCAAAAGCCAGAATGCCTCTTCTCCTCCAAAGGTTCACAACTCCTTGCCAGGAAGGGAACAAAACTGGACAGAGAATGAGTTTGATAAATTGACAGAAGTAGGATTCAGAAGGTGGGAAATAACAAACTCCTTTGAGTTAAAGGAGCATGTTCTAACCCAATGCAAGCAGGCTAAGAACGTTGAAAAAAGTTAGACAAATTGCTAACTATAATAACCACTTAAGAGAAGAACATAAATGACTTCATGGAGCTCAAAAATGCAGCACAAGAATTTTGCGAAGCATACACAAGTATCAGTAGCCGAATTGATTAAGCAGAAGAAAGGGTATCAAGAGATTGAAGATCAACACAATGAAATAAAGCAAGAAGACTAGAGAAAAAAAGAGTGAAAATAAATGAACAAAGCTTCTAAGAAATATGGGACTATGTGAAAGGACCAAATCTGTATTTGATTGGTGTATCAGAAAGTTACGGGGAAAATGGAACCAAGTTGGAAAACACTCTTCAGGATAACATTCAAATTCAGGCAATACACAAAACACCACAAAGATAGCCCTCGAGAAGAGCAACCCCAAGACATATAATCATCAGATTTACCAAGGAGGAAATGAAGGAAAAAATGCTAAGGGCGGCCAGAGAGAAAGCTTACGTTACCCACAAAGGGAAGCCCATCAGACTAACAACACATCTCTCAGCAGAAACCCTACAAGCCAGAAGAGAGTTGGGGCCAATATTCAACATTCTTAAAGGAAAGAATTTTCAACCCAGAATTTCATATTCAGTCAAACTAAGCTTCTTATGTGAAGGAGAAATAAAATACTTTACAGACGAGCAAAGGCTAAGAGATTTTGTCACCACCAGGCCTGCCTTACAAGAGCTCCTGAAGGAAGCACCTAACATTGAAAGGAAAACCCAGTACCAGCTACAGCAAAAACACAGCAAATTGTAAAGACCACTGACAACATGAAGACACTGCATCAACAAGCAAAATAACCAGGTAGCATTCTAACAACAGGATCAAATTCACACATAACAATATTAACTTTAAATGTAAATGGGCTAAATGTCCTAAGAAAAAGACTGACAAATTGGATAAAGACTCAAGACCCAGACTGGGTGCAGTGGCTCACGCCTGTAATCCCAACACTTTGGGAGGCCAAGGTGGGTAGATCACAAGGTCAAGAGATCGAGACCATCCTTGCCAATATGGTGAAACCCCACCTCTACTAAACAAAACAAAAACATTAGCTGGGTGTGGTGGCACAAGTGTAAAGTCCCAGCTACTCAGGAGCTAAGGCAAAAGAATCACTTGAACCCAGGAGGCAGAGGTTGCAGTGAGCCGAGATTGCACCTTTGCACACCAGCCTGGATGACAGAGTAGGACTCTGTCTCAAAATAAAAATTAAAAAAAAGAGAGTCAAGACCCATCTGTGTGCTATATTCAGGAGACCCATCTCACATGCAAAGACACACAGAGGCTTAAAATAAATGGATGGAGGAATATTTACCAAGCAAATGGAAAGCAAAAAAAAAAAAAAAAAGCAGGGGTTGCAATCCTAGTCTCTGATTAAACAGACTTTAAACCAACAAAGATCAAAAGAGACAAATTTGGAAGGGCATTACATAAAGGGATCAATGCATCAAGAGCAGCTAACTATCCTAAATATATAATGCACCCAATATAGGAGCACCCAGATTCATAAAGCAAGTTCTTAGAGACCTACAGTCTTAGACTCCTACACAGTAACAGTGGGAGATTTTTAACACTCCACTGTCAATATTAGATCAACGAGACAGAAAATTAACAAGGATATTCAGGACTTGGACTCAGCTCTGGACCAAGTGGACCTAATAGAAATCTACAGAACTCTCCACTCCAAATCCACAGAATATACATTCTTCTCAGCACCACATCACACTTATTCTAAAATTGATCACACAATTGGAAATAAAACACTCCTCAGAAAATGCTAAAGAACAGAAATCCTAACAGTCTCTCAGACCACGGTGCAATCAAATTAAAATTCAGGAGTAAGAAACTCACTCAAAACTGCACAACTACATGGAAACTGAACTGAACATTTATCCTGCTCCTGAATGAATACTGGATAAATAAAAAATGAAGGCAGAAATAAAGATGTTCTTTGAAACCAATGAGAACAAAGATACAATGTACCAGACTCTCTGGGACACATTTAAAGCAGTATGTAGGGGAAAATTTATAGCGCTAAATGCCCACAAGAGAAAGGAGGAAAGATCTAAAATTGACACCCTAACGTCACAATTAAAAAAATACTAGAGGAGCAAAAACAAATTCAAAAGTTAGCAGAAAATAAGAAATAACTAAGATCAGAGCAGAACTGAAGGAGACAGAGACATGAAATATCCTTCAAAAAGGAAAAAAAAAAATCAATGAATACAGGAGCTGGCTTTTTGAAAAGATCCACAAAATAGACTGCTAGCCAGACTAATAAAGAAGAATAATCAGTCCTTCTCTCTTCCTCGGTGCTGCGTACGGAGGTAGCAGCGATCTCCTCCTTGGCATCATGGCCGCCCTTAGACCTCTTGTGAAACCCAAGATCGTCAAAAAGAGAACCAAGAAGTTCATCCGGCACCAGTCAGACCGTTATGTCAAAATTAAGCATAACTGGCGGAAACCCAGAGGTATTGACAACAGGGTTCGTAGAAGGTTCAAGGGCCAGATCTTGATGCCTAACATTGGTTATCGGAGCAACAAGAAAACAAAGCACATGCTGCCCAGTGGCTTCCGGAAGTTCTTGGTCCACAACATCAAGGAGCTGGAAGTGCTGCTGATGTGCAACAAATCTTAGTGTGCTGAGATCGCTCACAATGTTTCCTCCAAAAAGCGCAAAGCCATCGTTGAAAGAGCTGCCCAGCTGGCCATCAGAGTCACCAACCCCAATGCCAGGCTGCGCAGCGAAGAAAATGAGTAGACAGCTTATGTGCACGTTTTTTTGTGTTTAAATAAAACTGGCATCTTCCTTCCTTAAAAAAAAAAGAATAATAATCAAATAGATGCAATAAAAAATGATAAAGGTGATATCACCACCGATTCCAGAGAAATACAAACTACCATCAGAGAATACTATACACATCTCTATGCAAATACACCAAAAAATCAATAAGAAATGGATAAATTCCTGGACACTTACACACAAGACTAAACCAGGAAGAAGTTGAATCCCTGAATAGACCAATAACAAGTGCTGAAATTGAGGCAGCAATTAATAGTCTACTAACCAAAACAAGTCCAGGACCAGACAGGTTCACAGTCGAATTCTACCAGAGGTACAAAGAGGAGCTGTACCATTCCTTCTGAAACCATTTCAAACAATAGAAAAACAGGGAATCCTTCCTAACTCATTTTATGAGGCCAACATCATCCTGATACCAAAACCTGGCAGAGACACAACTAAAAAAGGAAATGTCAGACCAATATCCCTGATGAACGTCCATGTGAAAATCCTCAATAAAATGCTGGCAAATCAAATCCAATACCACATCAAAAAGCTTATCCATCATGATCAAGTCAGCTTCATCCCTGGGATTCCTTGTTTAACATACACAAATCAATAAATATAATCCATCACATAAACAGAACCAAAGACAAAAACCACAAGATTATCTCAACAGATGCAGAGAAGGCCTTTGACAAAATTCGACAGCCCTTCATGCTAAAAACTCTCAATAAACTAGGTATTGATGGAACATATCTCAAAATAATAAGAACTATTTATGACAAACCCACAGCCAATATCACACTGGATGGGCAAAAACTGGAAGCATTCCCTTTGGAAACCAGCACAAGACAAGAATGCCCTCTCTTACCACTCCTAGTCAACATAGTATTGGAAGTTCTGGCAAGGGCAATCAGGCAAGAAAAAGAAATAAAGGGTATTCAATTAGGAAAAGAGGAAGTCAAATTGTCTCTATTTGTAGATGACATGATTGTATATTTAGAAGACCCCATTATCTCAGCCCAAAATCTCCTTAAGCTGATAAGCAATTTCAGCAAAATCTCAGGATACAAAATCAATGTGCAAAAATCACAAGCATTCCTATACACCAACAAGTCAAATTATGAGTGAACTTCCATTCACAACTGCTACAGAGAATAAAATACCTAGGAATACAACTTACAAGGGATGTGAAGGACCTCTTCAAGGAGAACTACAAACCACTGCTCAAGGAAATAAGAGGACACAAACGAATGGAAAAACATTCCATGCTCATGGTTAGGAAAAATCAGTATCATGAAAATGGCCATACTGCCCAAAGTAATTTATAAATTCAATGCTATCCCCATCAAGCTACCACTGACTTTCTTCAAAGAATTGGGGGGGGGCGAATACCTTAAATTTCACATGGAACAAAAAATAGCCCGCATAGCCAAGACAATCCTAAGCAAAAAAAGCCAAGCTAGAGGCATCACACTACCTGGCTTCAAACAATACTTCAAGTCTACAGTAATCAAAACAGCATGGCACTGGTACCAAAACAGAGATGCAGACCAATGGAACAGAACAGAGGCCTCAGAAATAATGCCACATATCTACAACCATCCGATCTTTGACAAACCTGACAACACAACCAATGGGGAAAGGATTCCCTATTTAATAAATGATATTGGGAAAACTGGCTAGCCACATGCAGAAAGCCAAAACTGGATCCCTTCCTTACACCTTATACAAAAATTAACTCAAGATGAATTGAAGATTTAAACCTAAGACCTAAAGCCATAAAAACCCTAGAAGAAAACCTAGGCAAAATCATTCAGGACATAGGCATGGGCAAAGGCTTCATGACTAAAAAACCAAAAACAATGGCAACAAAAGCCAAAATAGATAAATGAAATCTAATTAAACCAAAGAGCTATAGAACAGCAAAAGAAACTATCATTACTGTGAACATGAAACCTACAGAATGGGAGAAAACTTTGCAATCTAACCATCTGACAAAGGGCTAACATCCAGAATCTACAAATAACTTAAATTTACAAGAAAAAACAACCCCATCAATGAGTGGGTGAAGGATATGAACAGATACTTCTCAAAAGAAGACATTTATGTGGCCAATAAACATGAAAAAAAGCTCATCATCACTGGTCATTAGAGAAATGCAAATCAAAACCACACTGAGATACCATTTCATACCAGTTAGAATAGTGATCATTTAAAAATCTGGAGACAACAGATGCTTTTTAATAGTGATCATTAAAAAATCTGGAGACAACAGAAATAGGAACACTTTTACACTGTTGGTGGGAGTGTAAATTAGTTCAACCATTATGGGAGACAGTGTGGTGATTCCTGAATGATCTAGAAATAGAAATACCATTGACCCAGCAATCCCATTAATGGGTATATATCCAAAGGATTATAAATCATTCTATTATAAAGACACATGCACACATGTTTAATGTGGCACTGTTCACCATAGCAAAGACTTAGAGCCAACCCAAATGCCCATCAATGAAAGACTGGATAAAGAAAATGTGGCATATATACACCATGGAACACCATGCAGCCATAAAAATGGATGAGTTAAACCCCACCGTGTTCTTCGACATTACCGTCAACAGCCAGCTCTTGGGCCATGACTCCTTCAAGCTGTTTGCAGACAAGATTCAAAGACAGCAAAAAATTTTTGTGCTCTGAGCACTGGAGAGAAAGGATTTGGTTATAAGGGTTCCTGCTTTCACAGAATTATTCCAGGGTTTATATGTCAGGGTGGTGACTTCACACACCATAATGGCACTGTAGCAAGTCCATCTATGGGGAGAAATTTGATGATGAGAACTTCATCCTAAGGCATACAGATCCTGGCATCTTGTCCACGGCAAATGCTGGACCCAACACAAACGGTTCCCAGTTTTTCATCTGCACTGTCGAGACTGAGTGGTTGGGTGGCGAGCATGTGGTCTTCGGCAAGGTGGAAGAAGGCATGAATATCGTGGAGGACACGGAGCACTTTGGGTCCAGGAATGGCAAGACCAGCAAAAGATCACCACTGCTGGCTGTGGACAACTCTAACAAGTTTGACTTTTTTTTTTTATCTTTTTATTTTTTATTTATTTATTTATTTATTTTGAGACGGAGTTTCACTCATGTTACCCAGGCTGGAGTGCAATGGCGCGATCTCGGCTCACCGCAACCTCCGCCTCCTGGGTTCAGGCAATTCTCCTGCCTCAGCCTCCTGAGTAGCTGGGATTACAGGCACGCGCCACCATGCCCAGCTAATGTTTTGTATTTTTAGTAGAGACGGGGTTTCACCATGTTGACCAGGATGGTCTCGATCTCTTGACCTCGTGATCCACCCACCTTGGCCTCCCAAAGTGCTGGGATTACAGGCTTGAGCCACCGCGCCCAGCCAACGTTTTTTTTTTTTATCTTAACCACCAGACCATTCCTTCTGCAGCTCAGGAGAGCACCCCTCCACCCCATTGGCTCGCAGTATCCTAGAATCTTTGGGCTCTCACTGCAGTCCCCTTTGGGTTCTATGTTTTCCTTTTTCCCTTTCCATGCCTAGCTGGATTTCAGAGTTAACTTTATGATTATGAAATAAAGACTAAATTACAAAGAAAAAAAATCATGATTTCATGTCCTTTGCAGGGACATGATTGAAGCAGGAAACCATCATTCTCAGTGCAAACTGATACAAGAACAGAAAACCAAACACAGCATGTTCTCACTCGTAAGTGGGAGTTGAACAATGCAAACGCATGGACACACGGAGGGGAACATCACACACTGGGGCCTGTTGTGGGTTGGGCGGCTAGGGGATGGGTAGCAGTAGGAGAAAAACCTAACGTAGATGATTGGGTGATGGATGCAGCAAACCATCCCGGCATGTGTGTAACTATGAAACAAACATCTGCACATGTACCCCAGAACTTAAAGTATAATTTAAAAAAAAAGATGTAGCTAGTCCAAATTGAGATGTGTTATGATTTTAATACTAGATATTGAAAACCTGATGTGAAAAAACAATGCAAAATATCTCACTAATGGCTTCATACTAATTACATGTTGAAATACTAGTTGGGATATAGAGGTTAAATAAAATGTGTTATCAAAATTTTAAAAATTTGTCAAAATTCCTGGGTTTGTAGGACGCAAACACCAAATATTACTATAAATAGTAAGTATAGCTGGGGATGAGGCCGCCTGATTCGTGCACACCTGAACTGATCTGATCTATCTTGTCTCCACAAAGTCTGACAGTTCCAGATAAAGCACCATACAAAATCGCCACCAACACAGCATCGTGGCCTGAAGGAAGAAATGTTCCAGCGAACAACTCCTACATGTATCCCATCAATAATTCAATGTTTATAGCATGAGAATAATTTGGTTACACAATTATAGGGCTCGAATGAACACAGTGGCAGTTTTTAAATGCATTTGAATTGCTTTTGTGTATGTCTCAATTTCAGATAAATTCTTTTTTCTACAATTATTGACCATTCCAAAAATTTAAACTCAATGGAAAGTATCTTAGCGGAAACCAAAAAAGGAAATTGAAAGAATAAAGATTGGCAGGAGCCTCAAAATGTCAAGAACTCTCCTATGAAACCACGGAGACTAAAAACCTCTGATGGTTGAAATGGTATACAGAACTGTTTCATTAAGAATCAATCACCAAGAAAATGTTGGTAGTAACAGAAGATTGAGAATCAGAATCGTCGTAATAGAAAACAAAACCTTCCAAACAGAAAACAGTTTCCACAGTCAACACAGCCTCATGTAAGCAATGTGTTGACTTCCATAAGCACCTTGAACTTTCATCCCTGCCTGTCACACTGAGCAATTCACAGCAACACTGGCAAGCTGCAAATTTTTCAGCCTCCAAAATCATGATTCCTGTTTACAGAGAATCAAGTAGAACACAAAGGATTTGTTCAACTGTCTTCTAAACAGGTATTATAAGAAATAAGAATGAATTGTTATAACATCTTGGCCAGTCTATTCCAAAGAAAATGTAATATATATATTTTTTATTATTAAAATTTTTAACAAGACACACATGACTTATGGCAGGCAAATTTTCAGACTAGATTAAATGTATTGAGCTCTTAATCAGAAGACACACAGAACACAATGAAGCTATGTTTACTTGGATTGCACATAAATGAATTATAATACACTTTACCATCAGCTTGCAGGACAATGAAGGGACATACAGTATTTTTTTTTTTTTTTTGAGACAGTCTCTCACTCTGTTGCCCAGTCTGGAGTGCAATGGTATGAGCCAAGATTGTGCCATTGCACTCCAGACTGGGTTCAAGCGATTTTCCTGCCTCAGCCTTCTGAGTAGCTGAGATTACAGGCATGCGCCACCACACCCAACTAATTTTTGTATTTTTAGTAGAAGCAGGGTTGCACCACGTTGGTCAAGCTGGTCTCAGACTCCTGAACCTGAGATCCGCCTGACTCAGCCTCCCGAATTGCTGGGATTACAGGCATGAGCCGCCGCACCTGGCCAGAACATCAAGTATTATGCTGAAGTAT